TTCTCAGCAACTAGGACTGACGTATAATATGACATGGCGAATTTTAATACGAGATCTTAAATTGAAAGCGTACGAAATAGAGCTTGTGTAAGTGGCAACGCTACGCTCTATGGGGTCTTGAAATATTCCAAGAACACCCGACATTTTCGAGCCAAATCTTGTTCAGCGATAAGACCCATTTCTGGCTAAATGGAGCTGCCATTTCATCCAGAAAAAACAACGGCTTAGTGTGGTAGGCCGGTGCAATCATCGGTTAATTTTTCTACAAAAATGATGTCGGTGAGAATGTAATCGTCAATGTCAACAGTTATTACGTCCTGATAACCGACTATTTGATGCCTGAAAATAAAGCTCGTGTTCTCGACGATTTCTGATTTCAACAAGACGGCGACACTTCCCACACACCGCATCAATCAATGAATTTATTGAGAGAAAACTTCGGTGAGCCGATAATTTCACGTTTTGGGCCGTTCGATTGTCCATCAAGATCGATTTTTTTCATATCGATACCTTTAAAAATAACATACTAAACTAAAAAACATATCATAAACCGATCACTTTAAACCTTTTGTTCTGCGAATGCATGTGATTCGAAAAATAGTAACTTTTTTTAGAATTTTAGCCTCTTTGGATAATATCGGAATTATGTTCTAAACAATATGGCAGATTTCTAATCTAGTTTATTTTTTCAGTTATTTTTTAAAACTATGAAGTGCAAAATGCAAAAATTAATTAAGATAAGTGAAAATATTTATAACATGCAATTATAGATAGTATAGTTTGTAGGTTTTGATGGCTCTTAATCTATAGCCGTCACTTTGAAAATATACTTATGATGCAAAAACACTTCCAAAAATTGCCACGCCCACCAACTGCGTGCATAATTAATATGTTCAATAAAAGATGAAAATCTGAAAAAAAACCTTTTGATAAACATTTTACTTTGAGTGCTTTCAAAGCATATTTACAAGTGCACACACATATGTATGTATAAACATACATACCATATGTATATACATAAATACAAGCATGCAAACTCATACGCATACATAGGTATGTACATATATACAGCAAGACCACTTGTTAACAACAACAGCAGCTCGTTGGCGTTGAGTCAGTTGATTGGAACAGATGGCGACGACGGCGATTCGCCTCACTTATTAAAATCCTCAAAAAAGCATAAGAAATTGCACGGTCACAGAATTTTGATTTTCCCAAATTATTTCCAATTTTTCTATATTTTTCGACAATTTCTAATTTTGATGATTTACTAGTCGAGCAGACTGAAATTCGCTGAAAAAATGTGTGAGTGTGTCTGTGCACATCACACACACATGTCATTTATTCATTATCGGTCTCACTGATCATCACAACGGCGCCTCTATTCTTTTATTGCTTCATTGAACCGCTTTATGACCGTTGAAACGACGAGAAAATCTCAAAAGCAATTAATTAATTAGACAATTTTTTTTTGTTGTTGACGATTTTCATAAAACATTTTTATTATGAATGAAATGCAATAGTGGATAACAAATTACTCGCTTAAAGTGCAAATAAGCACTTGTTTCCCCTCAACCGCATCGCTGCGCTAGTGTTTATAAGCGACAAGCGCACACGTGCTGTCGATTGCAGTAACCATCGTTTCCTCTCCCGAGCATTATGCAATGTGCTTTGCAGGCGTAGCTGTTGCAAGTGAAGCGCCTTTGCCGACTCAGTGCAATAACGGGATTTTGCTTTCCTTTAGACAATTGTGATGTTAACGGCATTGTGGCGTCTGTTGCCACTTCTTTACTGCTACAGGCGTAAATGCAGAAAAGGCAGAAGGAAAACGCGAAAAGCACGATTCTTGTCATAACGGATTGTTAACGCCGCGAAGTCAACTGAATTATGTTGCTCTCAACTGTTGCGCATCTCTATTTTATATTGCACTTGAGCACTTTCGCTTCAAATTTGCTCGCGATAGCGCGAAATTCGCGCTTGTGATTCCCAGCGTATTATGTTTACAGTGCAAACAGCTGTATATGTATCTACATATGTGGGTCCGTATATGTATATACATACATTAGGGTTCCTCTTATTTGAGTTGAGTTGAGATTATTGCGGGCGCTGACAGCGGAAGACGTTTAGTAGTTAATATTTAATTATTATCATTATTTTAATGTCTTCAAAAGTGATTAATATGTGACATTGAATTCTATCATTTTAAGAAATCAATTCCTCTTTTATATCAAATTTATTAAATAAGTAAAAAAAAAAAAACAGCAAAAACCATATAATGCCCTTCATAGATGCATTTTTATAGCGTTAGAGGTTATAAAAGGATTTGCTCCTTGATTTTGGTCAAACACTTTGTATGGTAGCTATATGATATAGTGATCCAATCCGAACAATATATTCGGAGATTGTAGCACTGCTTTGGACAATAATCTATGCCGAATTTTGTAGAGAAATATTGTGAAATAAAAAAGTTTTCAATACAAGCACTTGAGTTTGATCAGTCAATTTGTATGAAAGTTATATACTGTAGTATGTCGTTCTGAACAATTTTTTCAGAGATTATAGCGCTCTTTTGTCTGTACTAAAATTCGTAGATATATCTTTTCAAATAAACGACTTTTTCATACAAGAACTTAATTTTGATCTATCAATTTGTATGGCACCCATGTGCTATAGTGGTTTGATATCGGCAATTCTGACAAACGAACCGTGTTTTTGAAAGAAAAAGTCGTGTGCAAAATTTCAGATCTAAAATGGAACTAACTCCCGTATATAGGTTTTAACTACCGTAACCCCCGTTGTGATTATAGGCCTGAAAACCAACAATTGACTAGATCTCGGAAGAGACCCGTGAAAAGAGGATCGACCCATACCACCTCTTATGCGATTTTAAAGCTACTTTTGACAGCATGAAAATGAACTGTTTCTATTCCACTATGTCTGAATTTGATATCCTCGCAAAAATAATATGGATGTGTAACAGAGCAATGCCAAAAGTTCCATCGGGATAGGGAAGGGCCTCTCCGAGCCGTTCGATACCAAACGAGGCTTCAGACAAAGCAACTGCCTTTCGTACGACTCTCACAATCTTCTGCTGGAGAGAATAATTCAAGCTGTAGAGCTGAATTGAGAGGCCCAATCTTTTATACGTCTACAAATGGGTCTGGTAGAGCCAAAAGATCTCCTGTCATCAAATAAACCGTCATCGCACTCGCGATCTTGTCTATTTTGGAACCAGTATTAATAGCAACAACAATGTCAGCCTTGAAATCTAACGAAAAATAACTTTTGCCAACAGGTGCTACTTCAGACTGAGTAAGCAATTGAGAAGTATATTCCTCTCTCGACGAATAAAAACCAAAATCCATAAGTTATTCATTATTTCCATTCTGCTATATGGTGCAGAGGCATGTAAGATGACAATATCTGATTAGTCGACGTTATGATTTTTCGAGAGAATATTGGAATTAAATTAAATGGCATATGTACTACGTTCATATATGTATGTATGTAAGTTGCTAGTATAAATGCGGTTTACCCAGGTGATTACATAATCTACTATCCCTCCTTTAGGGGATTTATGAGGTGTATATAAAAATATAGAATTGTGCATGTATAAATAAAATCCTCCTTTAAGCTGAGCTATTTTATTTGCGTAACAGTTATTTACACACATACCATATGCATATACATATGTATATACATAAGTGTATACATATATTGATGGAAATTCCGTTAAGTATATCGCCACCATTTAAGTTGAGATAAGATTCAATTGCAACTAGAAATTATTTTCCGCTGCTCAATTAGAGTACCTAATAAACTAAATTATACCTTACGGTAGGGACGCCGATATTGGATATTGAACTGTTAGAACCCTCAGAACTAGGAAGAGACTTTCCCTAATGAGGAGAAATAGCTCACTTGATCGATGAGTCGACCTTACGACAAAAGGATTTTACGAAAGCGCAAGAACCGTAACCTGCGCTAACCAAGGCTCCTGTGAAGCTCAGCTATCCAGTGGTAGAACGCATGAGGAGAGAAGAACACAGAGACATTCCGATTTTACTGATAGCGGGGCCAGGGTGACTTTTTCTCCCAGTTCTCCAGCTTTGCAGTTGTCTGTGACTTCGCTATCGCCTGGTACCCATACTGGTCTTACTATTACAAAGAGAGTCTGCACTTTGGAGCAGTAACCGCTACCGCTACCTTAATTGTGGCAAAATCGTTAAAAACGCTAGAATGAAGAACCGAAGTTTATAGATAGTTCCTATAATATGTCTGCACCAACCTTCCTCTCCTTGTCCTCCATCGGCTTCTACTCATTAAAAACTCCCTCAAGGTATGTGGGCAAAGGAAAAGTCCTCAGAGTTTGGTTTGGCGACTTCATAATCCAAAAGTCAAAGCGTGTAGGTATATCCAGATTTTCTAAGCCTGAAAGCAAGTTTAACGGCCATGCACTTTCCGGCTATATCCATTGGCATTATATGCAGAATGGCACTAATTCCAGTATTGGCTGGTTTTTGGCTAGTGCTAGACAATGCCAAGGGAACATCAATCATTTTCGTAGAAATCCTTGATTGCCATAAAATGGTTTGCCCGCAACAACCCGTTTTCAACCAATTACCATTATGAATTTAATTTGGATTAGTTCTACCTAAGCTACCAACTTTTTTGACCACCACAAATATGTTTAAGTTTTCTGTAGTGTAGTCCCACTTGAACGCTTGCCCTTTGCTACGCCATCAACTCCTAATTATTAAAAGTACCCTAAATATTGGAAAAGCGTCTGGATAGTGCCAGAAACTTATTGTGTCGGCCCAGACCTGATCTGACCGAAAAATTTTGGAGCATCCTTTTCACTAAAGTTTATAACAGGAAATACCTTAAAGGAGCTAAACTAGTCGTAATTAAAGAATCTACAAAATTCGTGTTTTTTCTTAAGTTATACTAATAGTAAACTTAAGTTGCTAATAAAGCAAATATATTTTTTCATATTTTTTTTTATTCAATCATTATAATAACAAATCTTTACAATCGACAAATACAGACTTTTTGGCGGCTGCAATAACCACCACGTCGGCCAAGCAGCAGGCAATGGAATATACAAGCCTCAGTGCTCTCCAGCACATCGCACGTAAAACGCTTTTGTCGTCTTAAGCTTCTCAAAGGTTCGACATTTTCCACAGTCAAAGGTGCTCCCAAGTCATTTCTAACCTCGGCAACTCCATCCACGTCGTCGGCCTGAGCGACAGTAAACATGCAAAGCGCACAGACGAGTCCAGCAAAAAGCACGAGTGTCTTCATATTGAATAGGTAGTACAGATTGAATTATTGGTGTTGCTGGAAGGTTGTTCTGCTCTGTTACTTTATTTCACTACTCATCTCTTATATACTCCACCAATTGCCATAAAACTGATAGTGTTGACTATTAGCATTTCCCGTTGCAGTTTGTTTGCACACTTGACTCAACGCTGAGGGGGTTCACTACGTTATTTCCCAAAGGTGAATGAATGCGTGACCCAAGACACAGCGCTTTGCGAATGATAAGCGCTGTAATGTTTGTTTACTTTATTCAACGCTCTATATTTTCACCTCCTGATGCCCATACCTTTTGCATAGTAATTTAGGTATTTTTTAGGTTAGTGTTACCCGATAGTAAACTTAAGTTGCTTGAAGATTACCGATAGTTTCATTTCAAGTAAGAATTAAAATTGATCCCTTCTTAACATACCACATACTGGTATTGGAAATAATCAAACAACGTCCGCTTTATATCAAAGTAATTAGATATTGAGCCGAAATCATGGAGAATTATTCGAATAGACAGCGAGCTTCTCCTATTTGGTGAAATTTTGGACCGACATGTTTTGATAGTTATCTACCGTACCTATTCCTAATATTCGTAGAGCAAGAGCTCGGCTTTAAGTTAGATTATATTGAATTATTATGGCCTATCTTCGTGACAAGCGTCATAAAGGATCCCACTTGTCCAGACGATATCCGGCTGATCATTGTGTGAGCATTTTTCTATCAAAATGTCATTATTAAGAAACACTTGAACGGAGTTACACGATGTAATGAGGAATTCTTGTATTTTATCTTAAATTAAGTCAACAATAGAAAAACAGATACAATCTTTACAAAACATTTCTATCATTTTCTTAAACAATTTCACAATTGTTGCTGGATTATTCTCCAAAAAATCGCAACTGAAACGCTTCCGTCGATTTTAGCTCATGAGAGGTTGTATGAAATGTTTGTTACACCTGAACTTAGCCTTTCCTTACTTGTTTTTCATTTATTTAATCCTACTAGTAACCATAATTGAGGATACCATACTATTATTAACCGACGATGTAAATGTTACGGTTAGTACTTTAACTAAAACAACTTAAATATTACTAATTAGCTGTTACGAAAATCAAACAAATGCAAATTCATTTAAGTTTCATGATAAAACTATGTTGTGTCGGATAAATATAACGTTTTGAGGTAAAATAAAAGTTGTTGAATAAGTGCACTATTAGGAGGGAAAAACAAACACAAATATATCAGCGCTTATCACTCGAAAATGGCAGTGTCTAGACTCAAACAAAGAAACTGTATCGGATAAGCCTAATTGTCAACACCATCAATTTTATGACAAATTATTGTGTATAAAAGATATGAATAACGAAATCAAGCCCCAGAACACAAAAGCCTTCATAGCAAACCCAACACTTTATTCGACTGAGAGCGAAACTAACTATTGAATATGAAGATACTCGTGCTCTTTGCTGGACTCGTCTGCGCGCTTTGCCTGTTTACTGTCGTTAAGGCCTATCCTATGGATGACGTTGCTGCAAAAGCGGAGCATGGATCTGTGGTGGCAGATTTAAATGTTGAAAATGACGCACCTCTCGGGAGCTTGAATCGACAGAAACGTTTCACTTGCGATTTTTTGGAGAACAATCCGGCTTGCGCATTCCATTGCTGGCTTAAAGGCAAAAGTGGCGGTTACTGTAACAGCAAAAAAGTCTGTATTTGTCGTTAGTGAGAACTATACTTTTGGGAAAAAAATGTATTACAGCAATAATTGTGAACATGTTTAAGAAGATGATAGAAAATGTTGTAAAGATTGTAACCGTTTTCCTATTGTTGACTTGTATTATGATAAAATACAAATATTTCTCATTATAAAGCTATAACTCGTGTAAATTGATCAGAGCCAGAGAAATACCTTCAGGTGTATAAGGTTTGTGAGTTAGGTATAGCCTTGAAAGTCGAGGTGCATGTTGCTTGCATCTCCTCTGTCGTCTTAAAATGATTGCCTTTCGGCTTTTTCAGGCATGGAACAAAAAAAAGTCTAATGGGGTCACATCTGTGCTGTAGGACGGCTGCGGAAGCGTTGGGATGCCGGTCTTGATTAGGTAGCTGTTCACAAGAAAGGCGGTGTAAGCCGGGGCGTTGTCGTGGTGCAACTTACAATCGGCTGCGGTGTCTTGTCGGACCCGATTAACCCTTCGTTTGAGTCTCTGCAGTGCTTCCAATTAAAACTTGGCATTGACGGTTTGTCCAGGAGGAACTAATTCTTGGTGGACGATGCCTTTGATGTCAAAAAATAAAAAAATTAGCATCGTTTTCACTTTGGAACCGAATCCAGTCGGTGCGCGTACGTTTCAAAGGCTGTCGCGTCGGAAGAAGATCAGTTCTATTAGTTTCCGCTCAAACCCTGTAGGTTTCGGTCGATTAGATCCTGAGATTTGGATTTTCACCGAAAACTGGGCGGTACCCCGCCCATCCTCCAATTTTCACTCGTTAAAAATGTCTTCAAGAATAACATTTGTAATTAAAATTAAAATTCAGAACCAATTTAATGCTTTATTTGGATTAATAATATTTAATAATTACATTCATAAGATATATATTTGTTTGATTACAATGATTAAGTCAAATAAATGTAAGCAATATGTCTATAAAATATTTATTCACTTCATTGACGACAGATACATGTTCCTCTACGACAGTAACCGCCTTTCCATCTACCGAGAACCACGCAATGACTTGCGCAGGCCGCCTCACTCTTGAGCACATCGCAAGTAAAACGCTTCTGGCGATTTAAAGTCAATAAAGTTTCGGGATTTTCGGCTGCCAATTGTGCATTGAAAGCATTAACCGTTTCGCTATCTCCATCAGTGGGTGCAGCTTTTGAGACGTTGAGCAAGCACAAAGCGCAGATGAGTCCAGCTAAAAATGCGATTTTCATTTTGTACGGGTTGTTGTTGTGGGCACTAAATGTTGTCTATTGTCTATTTGATAGCTGATAGCTTTGCTTTGAGTTGTGGTTGTTGCTGCGAAGACCGCTGTAGACTGATGCTAAACTCGCATGCCCAATTGAGTTTTATACTCTGTAGCGAAACTGATAACACACGTAGTCCAATTTTTGCAAACAAATATTTCTTTGCAACTTTTCGGGGACTCACGCGACACATTTCTATATTTCATCAACAAAAGCATTTATAAATAGGTGCATTTAATATTACTTATGTGAATCATGTCGGCCTCATCTGTTATTGATAAGCTGGGAAACATTTGTATTTCGGGAAATACGTTTCACTATTTATAGCAATTCAATTTTTCAATAAAATATTTAAATAAACAAGTAAGGAAGGGCTAAGTTCGTGTGCAACCGGAATCGAAACACGGCAAATACGTTAAAGTGTAAAACGCCAACCATAGGAATTTAAGCGATGCACGGTACAAAGTCACCCGGAAAATCTTTATATGAGGTATATGAGTTACTCAGGGAAGTATTCAGCCAATTCAAACCATTATTGATACACAGAAATACTATGTTATAACACCGACCGACATCATTTTCCTTGTTCGAGTTCTGATTATTTTTTTCCACTAATTTGGTAGTGCGGATCACGAAATTATACCTCATTTTATCGTATCACATCAGATTTTTTTGTGTATTCGTGATTTAAGTTCTTTAGAATGCAGCTCTGCGCATAATTAGTAAAAATCTGATGTGATAGCGCAAATATGTAGGAGTTTTTGTGTTTAAAATAGTAAAAATTGGTGATATTACTGGCTCAAATACAAACAAAGTTCAAAATATTTTCATTTGTCGGCCGGTGTTATCGGTACTTAGGGGCTTAAACAGATGTTATTGCAATTGATGGTGGTTTTATTTATAAGGTGACATACTCTAAAGGCTTTATTCATGCTAAGTTTTATTCCGTTATATCAATTATTTCTTCATTTGTACAATGGAAAGTGAAAGGACCAAATGAAATTTTAAACTGTGTCATATGGGTTGTTGTGGTGTGAAAAACCACATTGTGACATAATAATATGAGAAATATTGTCGGAATCGATCGGTCGGGTCCCGAGATATCTGATTTCATCAAAAAGTGAACGTTGTCACGCCCATCGTCCATTTTTATTACCGGCTCCCATAAATTCTTCGCATACCATATCAGAAGTATATCCTATCGTCACTCGTCTATTTAGTTACTGATTTAGTTTTTAACCTACAGTTATGTGGGGAGTGAGCGGGGTTATTTTCTGATTTCATCCATTTTCACACTGTCGTTAAGAGTTCTTATGGTATTTGCGCTCAGCAAATTTGGTTGTTGTCGCTAAAGTGGTTTAGGAAATATATACATTAAACTTATTACAGGGCGGGCCACGCCTTCTTTTTCAAAATCTTTTTCCCATAAGGCAACTACTTTATCCTGTCCGAAATTACAGCACATTATCTTAAGTTAGTGCTTATTTATGGCAATTAATATGTTATCGGATAATGGCGTTTTGTGGGTTTGGCAGTGGTCCGATTACGCCCATCTACGAACTCGTAATTTTTTTGTAATAAGGAACCAGCTTACCAAGTTTCATAAAGATATCTCAGTTTTTACTCAAGCTAAAGCTTGCATCGACGGAGGGACAGACAGACAGTCACCCGGATTTCAACTTTTGTCATCACTCTGATCATTTATATATCTAACTCGCTTAGTTTTAGGAGATACGTACAACCGTTAGCTGAACAAAACTAGTATACTCTGTAGAGGCAGGTTGTAAAAGTAAATACTTCCTTGAGCCACCATATGTATATCCTAGAAGTCAATTGTGATCAGTTTAAACTAACCGAACGACAGTTTTCTAAGTTTGTTTGAATTTGCACATATTGTCTATTATGTAGTCCTATACTCGTAGTTACATCTGAAGAAATTTGTTTTACAAAAAAGTTTTGGAGAGTAATGAACTTGTCTCTGGAAGAGTTTTTTCGGGCGAGAATCATTAACAATTTGAGATAGAAACTTCAGAATAACAAATTGATATTTGTTGAATATGCCTTTTAGGTTATTTAATTTTTAATAATTACAGTTTATGTAATATATGTATATAATTTATGGTATATAATAATTACTTAGACTCTGCATTGACTGACGTATTCACTAAGTGTGCAACCTGATCCGAAAGCAAATTGAGAAGAATTCACTGAAAAAATGTGGAGCGTTTCAAATCAAACAATTTATATTCATAAATGAAGTTTGCTTAGTTCTAGATTCTTCCTCTTACTAGTTTCATACAGAGATCAGGGTGGGCCAGGTTTGTTATGCTTAATATATGGAATTTTTCATTTTGAAGATAGATTTTTTATTAATTAATATTATAATTAAGACATCTACTTCGCATTAGTTTTACTAATCTAAAGCTTAGATCCCAGGATGTCACACAAAAGTTTTTAGTAGTAGTAAACCGTTCAACATTCAATTCAAGCCAGCATAAGCGACATTAAAAGACCTTGAAATGCTTTTCATACGTATACAGGATCTTCACTCGCAAGCTTAAAGCGTGGAAGAATTTGGTATAGCTCTAATAATACAGAAGAAAACGAGATGATCCCGACAGGTCAAGTTTAGTTGATAGACTTATTGAGGTTGCCTTTATTGTTTGCTATTCGATATTATATATTATAGTTGGAATAATTTACCTGGATGATAACGGAAAAGGATTCTTGGTCACGAAAGGACATGTGCCATATCTCAGACCGATATCTTTAAAACTGAGAGACATGGCTAACGACTCAGCTCGTCAGATCATTTACGTATATACATATTTTATTTGGTGACCAACGTCTCCCTTCTAAATTTCGTGGAAAACTTAATCTATCCTGTTCATGATATAAAACATAATGTAAGAATATAAAAATCAATATGACACTAAAGAAGGAGTTCAGCCAGCGAAACTAACGAAGAAACTTAAATTAATAAATTCGAAAATTACTTTTTAAAATTTTTTATTTATTCCATCATATCCTATAAATTTCTAAATACAAATTCTCGTACTAAATTTTTGACTAATTCAATTTTCCATCTAGTTATAAAGTAGCCTTATTCTCCTCTCTTCAGTCGTACATCTTTAATTACGACATTCACAAACTCCACGTCCATTGCAGTAACCACCACGGTTGCCACGGAGTAGACAATGGGCCGCACACGCACTGTGCTTGATGCCGAAACCGCTCAGTAGATCGCAAGTGGCGCGCTTTTGACGAATCAACTCCGAAAGAGGTTGCTCCCCAAATCCACTCAATTGTGCTTCCTCTGTTTCGCCAACATCTACTCCAGCAGGGGCTGCACAGATCGCCTGGAATAGGCAAAAGGCGCAGATGAGACCGGAGAAAAGTACGATTGTCTTCATGTTGAATATTTGGAAAGCTTTGTTGGTGTTAGAAAGTTTACTGAGATGTGTATAATCCACTGTTGCACTGTTAAAGTCTGCTGGGCTCTGATGTGCAATTCAGATGTTCGTTCTATTATATATACCTCGTCTTAGTTGGGCTGATAAGGCAGTGATCACGTATGTATATGTAGGTGTGGTTTTCCCAATAACAACAAATATTGGTTTAGCGTTGTCTAGGGGACTCACTCAGGTGGTTTTGTTGTAATTTATTATGAGTTATTGAATTGTGATCACAGTTGTGGACTTCGAAAATATGTTGGCATTCTGGGAAACCTACTTTAGTGCAATATTGGATTCGTCTCAACTTTTGTTAGTTAGCACAGATTTCCAAAAAATATATTGTGAGCTTTTGTTTAGCATTACGTGGTGTAGGTATCTTTTATCTTGATTTACGTAGCCTAAGCATTTGCTTAGCTTCCGTACCCAGCCTGGAGAAAGCAGAATTAACGGCGCGGGTGTTGAAACCAATGAAATCAGTATCATCGGCATATGTCAGCAGCTTTATACTCTTATAGAAGATTGTACCTGCTCGATTAAGTTCGGCAGCTCGAATTATTTTCTCCAGTAGCAGATTGAAGAAGCTGCACGATAGTGATTCGCCTTGGTGTCGAACAGCTCGGAGTGGTCATTCTTGATCCTGACGGAGCTTTTGGTAGTGCTCAACGTCAGTTTACACAGCTGTATTAGTTTTTTGGGATACCGAATTCAGACATTGAAGCATTTTTTTCGTGCTGTCAAAAGCAGCTTTGAAATCGACGAAGAGGTGGTGTGTGTCGAACAACTTTTCACGGTTCTTTTCCAAAATTTGGCGCATGGTGAATATCTGGTTGATTGATATGTTTTCAGGTCTAAAGCCATACTGATAAGGTCCAATTAGTTTATTGACGGTGGGCTTAAATTTTTCATACTATACGCTCGATAAAACCTTATATGCGAAGTTTAGGAGACCTATCCTACGGTAGTTGGCGCAGATTGGGGTCTCTCTTTTTTTTGTATTGGGCAGAACACATTTAAATTCCAATGGGCATGTTTTCGTCCGACCATATTTTACAAAGAAGCTGATGCAGGCTCAGTCAGTTCTTCACCGCCGTGTTTGAATAGCTCGGCCGGCAATCCATCGGCTATTCGCACTTCTTCATGATCGGGCAAAGGATCGTCTGCTTCATCGTCATAGATTGAGGAAAAAGGGTCGTTCTGCTATCTGTTGTGATTGCAGCTTCTCGACGTCGAACCTTCCTTGTGTTTGATGGCGTGCGTTTTTTGCTGCACAGCAGCGGGTGCGAATCTTGGCTGCAACAAGGTAGTGGTCCGATCCGATATTAGGGCGTCGGTGCGTACGCACATCTAAAATACTGGAGATGTGTCTTCAGTCTATCACAACATGATCAATCTAGTTGGTGGCCTCTTCAATCCGGAGACAGCCAGGTAGAGTGGTGAATTTTTCTATGCTGGAAACTAGTACTACTGCTAACTATATTTCGGGACGCGGTGAAGTCGATCAGCCTCAACCCAATTGGGGATGTTTCCTCGTAGAGGTTGAACTTACAGACTATTCAGCCAAAGATACCCTCCTTGCTCACCCTGGCGTTAATGTCGCCAAACACGATTTTGAAATCATGGCGAGGTCAGCACTCATAGTTGCATTCCAAGCGCTTATAGAAGAAATCTTTAATCAAAGCGTCCTTCTCTTCCGTTCTGACGTGGGATATGTTGAAGAACTTGAAGGGAAATATGTGAAATAAAAAAGCGAATATTGCTTTTACTATGGGAGAACTTTTGAATTTTCCTGTTATTGCACGCTTGCGATATTACGAGTTGTGGCAGTATTGCCAATCGTAGTCATTTCGACTTTATGGAGGCTCAAAAGTTACCGTTGGAACACGATGTAACAAGAGCTCGCTTTGTTTTTTGAACGCTGAACTCAGACTTTGCTCGCGCACTGCATGTAAAAGTCGCAAAAAGTGAATTTGGGTCGATGGTTCAGCTTACTCGTATCTTATCTCTTAATTGGGGCAAACACAAATATTTAGTTCATTACAGTAACCAATATCGCTGCCTTGATAGAAACATTGATCGCCTGGAAGCGGCACAAAACACAAATGAGACCGGCGAAAAGTACGATTGTCTTGATGTTGAATATTTGAAAAACTTTTTAAAAAGTTTACTGAGCTGAGTATAATGTTGCACTGTCATAGTTTATTGCACTCTGACATGAAATCCAGCTGTTGGTCTCAATTATATATGCCTCGGCTTAGTTGTGCTGAAGAGGTGGTGATCAAATGTAAATGAGTTTCCTAATAATAACAAATATGTGCATAACTTTGTCGAGCGGATAGGTAGTTTTGCGATAATTCATTGAGCTTTATTGAATTGAGATCGTCATATGGAAACTTAAAAAATATTTTTCGAATACTGGGAAATCTACGCCAGTTCAATATTGAATTCGTCACACTTTTTGTTAGTTTGACTTTGGCATAAACGAATATAAGCACGAGTCACACATAAACTTAGTAACTGTATATACATACATATGTATGTATGTTGTAGGTCTTGGAAGTGCTGCCATAAACACTTCAAATTATTATACTGCCATAACATGTTGCATGGATTATAATAAGTTTTTCCCATATAGACTTAGATGTAATAAAATCAAATTGAACGTATTTGAAATAAAACTTATATACTTTAAAATTTCACTATATACTATACATATAAATGTGTATATTATTAAAGTRTTAAATATAGCMCCCACATATAAGAGTAACGAAAATTATGTTTTTAATAATTTTATTTATTTTTTTTAATCGTTTTTTTTTTTTTTTTTTTTTTTTTTTTTTTTTTTTTTTTTTTTTTTTTTTTTTTTTTATTTTTTTTTTTTTTTTTTGTAATATTAGTATATATCTATTATAGTAGTAAATATGAATTAAGTTTAATGTCACTCATTTGCGGCAAACGCAAACCGCACGGCTATTGCAATATCCACCGCGGTTGCCACGAAGTAAGCAGTGGGCTGCACAAGCGCTGTGATTGACACCGGTTCCGCTCAATAGATCACAAGTGGCGCGTTTTTGACGACTCAACTCCACTGCAGGATCTGCCTTCAGTACAGCCAACTCAGCGTCAACCGTCTCCAAAGCAGTTGCATCAGCGGGAGCTGCTTTGATGCCTTGGAACAGGCAGAAAACGCAAATGAAAGCAGCGAAAAGCACGATTGTCTTCATATTGACGGTTTTGAGTTTTAATTGAATTGGTTTCCCTGCAAATACTTGCTGCTGCTGTAGACTCTACAGATAGTTTGATGGCCAACTGAGTTGCTCAGCTCGGTTTTATATGCGATTTGAGCTGAGCTTGGTGTCATATTGCTGATGCCGTATTCAGTTTGGAATCTCCACCCCAATGACAGGGGACTCACATAGTAGAATCTGCTAGCGGTCGATGGGATGTACATATATGCTTCATAGGTATACATAAGTATGTTACTGATAAGTCGTGAATATTAAGTATTCTTGGGAAAATCCACATCACTGCCTGTATATGTATGTAGATATGTGTGTAGCGAGGTCGTATTGAAATCATGAAAGTAATTGAATCGTTCTGATCTGATTATGTGTGAGCATGTTTGTAGTAAGACTTATTTGCTCGCACCTAAAGCCATCAGCGGAAGTTTTGTGTCATCTTTTCTTTGTTCGTGAAAATTTTAAATTGGCATTATCAATATTCTGTATGTGCATAAGGTACTCTTGCTAAGGGGATGCACTTTTGCGTACTTCAGTAAAAGTACGTATCTAGATAGATAATTTCACGACCCAGTTCTTCATATACTTTTACGTTAATTAAATTTTATTTTAATTTTAAATTTAATGATTCATTTATTAATTGGAAGACTATTTGTTTGTAGGTAAAACATTGTTTGTCAAAAAAGTCTTGCGGTATTTTCGCTAGTTGGCGCTGAGAGCGCGTAGTTCTAGTTTTATTCGTAGCATCGGGTCATGCTATACCTTTTTGGAAAGCTCATTTCACGCGCTAACAC